AAGAAAGACTGCGAGTCTAGGACTATGAGGTGCTTGGAAGCTAGCAATGTAGACCGCTCTGTGGTAGGAAATGACTACAAGATGGGAGGGCGTGTCTCTGGGTTATTTTCCTCACCCTTTCCCCCACACAGTCCACAGGCTCTAGCTGCTATGGAGGGTTGCTACTGTCCCCACATTTCCCACTCACCCCATGTATATAGTGAATAAAGGTTCAGGCTCTGGAGTCAGATGGACATAGGCTTGAATCCTAGTTCTGCCAGTAACTAGCTATATCTCTTTGGCTAAATTCCTCAATCTTTCTGAGCATCAGTTTCCTCTTCCAAACAACGGGAGTTAAACATTGCATCAGATAAGGATAGGCTAGGTTATGTTGCAGTAACAAGCCCCAAATCTCAGAGGTTTAACAAAAGTTTATTTCTCACTTATTGTGTTAGGCAGCTTCTAAAATGGCTCTGATGAGCCCTGCCTCCTGGGTGGTCCTGCTTTTGAAAAATCCCTGCCCTTGAGATTCGCCTAGACCTAGTGACTCACTTCTAATGGACAGACTATGGCAAAAGGGATGAGATGTCAATCCTAAGATTAGGTTAAAAAGATTGTGACTTCAGCATTGCTTCTCTTCCCTTTCTCCTCCTCCCTACTCCTCTTCTTCCTCCTCCTCTTCCTCCTCATTTTCCCTCTTCCTCTCCCTTTCCTTTTCCCTCTCCCCCTCCCTCTCCTACACACACACACACTCTCTCTCTGGAAATCCAACTGCCATGTTCTGAGCTGTCTTATGGAAAGGCCCATGTGGCAAGGAACTGATGGAGGTCCCTGGCCAACAACCTGGAAACAGACTATCTCTCCATCAAGCTTTCTGATGAGACCACAGCTCTGGATAACACCTTGATTGCAGCCTTGGATGAGACCTTGAGGCAGAGGGACCCAACTAAGCCATGACAGAATTCCTGATCCATAGAAATTGTGAGATAATAAATGTTTGTGAAATAATAAATGTTAAGCCTCTATGTTTTGGGGTAATTTCTTACATATCTACATTTCCAATGTTGACTGGGAAGCAGGCGGCTCAGCCCATCTAAGTCAGGGACCTGGGCTGATTGACAGACTCCATCTCAATACTTGCTTCCGTGGTCACCCTGATAGGGCAGATATTGCACTCTGACACTTAAAACTCCCACCCCAAAGTGAAACATGCCACTTCTGCTTGTGTTTCTGTAGCCAAATGAAGTCACATAGTCATATCTAACTTCAAGGGAGTGAAAGGAAAATAAATGGAATATTTGTGAACAGGTGGAATGATTCTTATTACAATAGCACCTTCCTAGAAGGACCATTGTGGGAATAATGCCTTTAAACTGCGTTATCAGGACCTTACAACTACAAGTGAGAGGAACATAGTTGTAGATACACAATGCAGACATAAAGGATACAAGCTTAAACAATAAAGGGAATTTTTTGGCTCATAATTTTTGGCCAAAGGTCCAAAGGTAGGGTTGCTTCAGGTAAGACTGGATCTAGTGACTCAATCATGTCATAGGCCTGGTTTCTTTCTCTCCCTCTTTTTTCTGTATTTTGAGATATTAGCTTCATCCTAAACCTTGCTCCCTAAGGGCCTCAAGGTGGTTACCAGAAGCCTCTTGGGCTACATGCTTCCTTGATTAATCCAGCAGAGAAGAAAGAGAATATCACTGTTCACAGAAGTCCTGAGCTCCCCTCTGACTGGATCAGCCTAAATCACATGCTCACTGTGGCCTGAGGGGGATGGTGGTAGAAAGTAAGTATGGTTTCACCTACATTATTATATCCTCAGACCTCCAAGTCAGCTTCCCTGGAAGCACATGGGGCTCCGAACAGAAATGGAATGTGTTAAAAGTGCTTACAACAGTGCCTGACGCTGTTCCTGCCCTCCCCTGGTATTATCTACTATTCCTTTCTTTCAAGTCATCACTTGCTGATGAAATTTCAGTGATGAATTTGCAAACATTACTGGATCTGAAAATGCTTTGCTTTCAAAAAGCTGGACAAATCTAAGAGATTGTTACATACCAGGATCCTCCTCATTTGGTATGTTCTAGCCACACTGGCACTTTTTTCTTTTCCTGAAATACACCAAGCTTTTTTGGGTCTTAAGACTTTTGCCCACCATGCATCTCCCTCTGTCACAAATTCTTTGGTCCCAACTCTCTTTTAACTGGCTCCTTCTCATCCTTTAGGTCTCAGAGAAGCATTTCCTGACCTTCCCATACCCCATACCCACATTTTTTCATCCTAACAGGTAATACTACCTGAAATTATTTTGTTTATTTGCTTGCTTAATGTTTTACTCCTCCAGCCAGAACTTCACGTCAGCAAGGACTTTCTGTCCTGGTCATAGATACATCCCAGCACCTGGCACAGGGCTTAAAGCATGTTTGATACAAAGTAAATACGTGTTGAAAGAATAAAAGAACAAATGATTAAATGTATCATATCCACCCACTGCTGTGTCTCAGTTTATTGTGAGGTATGTCTCAAGTAATTGCCAGATTTTACAAATGAATGGCTTAAAAAATACAAGTTAGGGCTGGGCAGGGCGCGGTGGCTCACGCCTGTAATCCTAGCACTCTGGGAGGCCGAGGCGGGCGGATCACTTGAGGTCAGGAGTTCAAGACCAGCCTGAGCAAGAGTGAGACCCCCCCCCGTCTCTACTAAAAATAGAAAGAAATTAATCGGACAACTAAAAATATACAGAAACAATTAGCCGGGCATGGTGGCACATGCCTGTAGTCCCAGCTACTCAGGAGGCTGAGGCAGAAGGATCGCTTAAGCCCAGGAGTTTGAGGTTGCTGTGAGCTAGGCTGATGCCACGGCACTCTAGCCTGGGCAACAGAGTGAGACTTTGTCTCAAAAAAAATACAAGTTAGAATATATTCGAGGTTATCCCTGTAATCACATCTCTTTCAGTCACTTTATTCTCGAGAGGATGCAATAAGGGTAGAATTGCTTTTAGCTGTTTTGAAATGAGTGTAATGTGTATGCTGGCTCATCTATAGGCCACATGCAGATACTCTCAAACTCTAGTGTGCATCGGAATCACCTGTAGGGCTTGTTAAACTCACATTGTGCAGATCCACCCTCACAGCTTTTGATGCAGGAAGTCTACAGTGGAGTCCAAGCATTAGCATTTTCAAGAAGTTCCTAGGTGATGCTGATGCTCCTGGTCAGCAGAGCCATACTTTGAGAGCGGCTGCCACAATCTAAATAGGCAACAAATTTTAAGGTATTATTAGTAGCTGAGGCTATTTTGAATTATTGCAATCCTTTACTTCTCTGCAACATTTTCGGCTTTCATTAAAATCCATATATATCCATGGAAATGTATCCCACAAGTCAAAATATACAGATATTGTGTACATTGTGTTGTATCTTGTGTGTTACAAGAGATCAAAGACGGAGGGCCAATTGCTTCCATAGAGCATTCAGGAGCATTTCCATCTTGGACTACAAGTGTTAAAGTCATTCATCTCAACATGTTTCAAATTCACCAATTTATTTCTACGTCTACTTTTAAGAGTACAATTATTACTATTCAGGGTAAAATTCAAGGTACAATTTCAGGGTACAATTATTATGATTATATTTCATGTGGACTACTGCAACAGCTTCTTAGTTGGCTCTCTGAAGTTACCCATGTGAAACCAGACCAATCTTTTTAAAATGCAAATCCGATCACACTACCTGCTTACACAAAACTCTCCACTGTCGCCCAATCTTCTCAGGAAAATGTCAAGTTTCTTTAACACAGCTCACTTGATGTGGCCCCTGTCCACCTTACAGCCTCATCTCACCACATTCCCCTCCAACAATGAATGCTCCTTCAGTTCCTCAATCTCAATTGGCATGTTCCTTCCCAACACAAGGTGTGAGTACCATGCTGTCTCCTCACTTGGAAAAATTTCTTCTTCCCTTACCTTATTAACTTCTTCTCTTTCTTCAAAGCTCAATTTGTGCTATTTCCTCAAGAAAGCCTTGCCTGTTGCTCCCAGGCCAGGTCAGTTTCCACCTGGCATGATTTTACAGAACCATGTTCCATTCCTTCAGAGCACTAACCCATTTTTTCTAGAGTCCTTATGTGTTCCCTATCTGCAGGTGAGAAGGACCAAGACTGTTTTACTCACCAACCAGTATATTTCTAGTGCCTAGCATAACGCATTGATGGTGCTCAATAAATACATGTTGGATGAAATTTTAGAATGCACGCTTATTTCCTCAGTCCCTACTATGCACCAAATCCTATGCTAGGCTCTAAAAGGGAACTGAGACTACTTAGAGGGATGCTTGACCTTAAGGAACTGCACGCCAGTTAGGAGCAATGGATGTGGTATGGACTGTGGAGAGACACTTATATAACACAGTAGAAGTGGCTACATGAGGTGAACAAAGGGCTTTGGGAGTCGAGTGGAGAAGGGGGAGATCAACTGCAGATGGGAAAATCTATTCATCCCACATCCTCTTGAATGAAGATATAGTCCTCACTATGTGTTAGGTGCTGTCCTAAGTGTTTTATGTGGTAGAGGGGATTGGGAGATTTTCATATACGGAGAAAACAATGCACAGGACAGACAAATAACGTGCTTCAAGTCACACAGCTACTAAGTGGTAGAAAAAGAATTTCAAGTCAGGCTGCCTGGCTCCAGAGTCTATATTCCACTACCTCACCGGAAAAACGTCATGGAAGGCGCGGCAAGTAAGCTGTGCTTAACTGAAGGATTTGTCCAGGTGGAAAACCGCACGGCCATTCCTAGCAAAATCGAGACCAGAAAATACGTGCTTAATTAGGAGTTTTGTTCTTCCCTTTGCCCACCATCCCCATTAAAATGGGGAGGGATTTCACAAGTACACAGAGTAAAGACGGGGGTACGGGAGACGAGAAGCTAACTTCCGCCTCAGGGAGTGGCGGAACTCTTTCCATGGCAACAGAACGGGTTCCTAACTAGGAGAGATCTCGCGGTGCTTGAACCGGCGGAAGTGACGGCGCGGCTCGCGAGGCCCTCAGGTGGATCGTCGCGGCCCCTCCTCCCAGAGCGGCCGACTTTTCCCGCGCGAGCTGCTTCTGCCGCTCTGGCTGCCCGCGGGAAACATGGCGTCTGCCCTGGAGCAGTTCGTGAACAGTGTCCGACAGCTCTCAGCTCAAGGTGAGGTTCTGGGCCGCCAGGCTGGGCCTGGGCCGGTAGCGGGGCCGGGCCTGCATCCCCAGGTGCCAGCGCGGACGGCTGGGACCGCTCTCCTAGTCCCGAGCCTCTTCTCCAGGGCTGGGCTCGGGATTACGGCGCATAGATCCGGGCGGGATCGAGTGCGGCTGAATTGTTCAGCCCCCTCGCTCTCTCGGGCTCCGTTGTCCCCGCCCACAGTCTCCCCTCACTTGGGCTACCGGGAACCCCCTCCCCCCGGCCCCGGGCCCCTTCCACGGGGTGCTTTGCTTGACAGTTTGGGGGCGTGACTTCCGTCGGACTCTTTCCCGAGCGGCCATTGGCTCCTTCCGCCTCCCATGCCTTCGGTGATTGGCGCACCGCCCTGTCAGTCCTGCCGCCGCTGGGCCACCTCCAGATGAGGCCGCTGGGAGCGGGCAGGAGGCTGGCTAGTTTTTTCTGGGCTCCTTGGCTCCGAGGCTCGCCTTGACCGGATTCTCCGCTGCCAGCCGGCGCACGGTCGGGAACCTCTGCGCCTATTTTGGTTCTACAGAATGCCCAGGGAGCTCTCGCCTTTAGGACTCCATTTCTAGGAGGAGAATACCATGGTGGTTTTTCCCTTTTCCTGTTTGTTTCATTCATCTCATCTTAATATACAGAATTCCGAACTCGGAATTAGAGTTATTAATTGCTGGCCGTGAAGGCCTCTTTAACTATCCTGTGCTTCAGTTTCTTCATCTGCAAAATAAAAAAAAAAAAGTCCCTACTTTATGGAATTGTGAGGATTGAATGAGAGAAACCATGTAAAAGCACTTGGAACAGTGCCTGTCACATCGGGTGCAGTAAATACAGTTACCATTTATTGTTAATGGCCATTAATTGTAAAGTTCTGGGAGCTGTGTGACCTTGACAAGTCACCTTTAATTTCTTGAGTCTCATCTCCATTTGTAAAAATCTCACTGTTGTAAGGCTTGAATGATCTGGTATGCAGCCGTGCTTAATAAATAATAGTTCTCTCTCTTTTTCCTTATTATTGATAGAAATTAGGTTCATAGGGCACAGACAGATTTGCATTTTATGTGAATGAAGAAACCATTAATTCGTTCATTTATGCCACAATTTCTACTTCTGGGATGTAGTGTGGTCGGAAGATTCAGGTTGGAATCCTGCCTCAGTCACTTCTTCTGTGAGCCACTTAATTTCTCTGGGCCAGTTTTTCTCATTTGCAAAACAACTTGGGTTGTGTACCTGCTCTGTGTAGTAAGACACTGCTTTAGGAACAGTCTGCTAGGCAGAGATAAATGATAACTTTCACTGCATAGTAAATATTTTTGAGTTTCTCTTTACTCTCTCTCTCTCTTTTTTTTTTTCCTCCTATTTTTGAGACAGGGTCTCACACTGTTGCCCTGGTTAGAGTGCAGTGGTGTCATCATAGCTCACTGCAACCTCCAACTCCTGGGCTCAAGTGATCCTCCTGCCTCAGCCTCCCAGGTAGCTGGGACTACAGACGTGCACCACCACACCTGGCTAATTTTTAAATTTTTTGTAGACATGGGGTCTCCATCTTTCTGAGGCTGGTTTTCAACTCCTGGCCTCAAGCAATCCTCCTGCCTCAGCCTCCCAAAGTGCCAGGATTACAGGGCTGAGCCACCATGCCTCACCTGTTTTCTCTACTCTTATTCACAATTTTCTAACATAAACCTTAAGTGAAGGAAATATTATAATTTCCAGCTTTCTCTGATTAGAGCGAATTTCACTGGCCACATCTCTGGTTGGGCTCATGTCATATGCACCCAATGGTACTTTAACATACCTTTGATTCTCCTGATGGCCCTATACTAGTTAACTAATGATTTCATAGGGACCCAACTTTTATTTTAGATCTCAACTAGGTGTTGGTTATTTAACTGGGGGTGGGGGGGGGACTAATGAATTGAAATGTTTATTTCTGGGTATTTCAAATTATTGTTAATATATTTAGAGTGGTGCATTTAAAAAGGGCAAATTATTCAACTGGAAGAAGCTACTTCATACCTACCAGTGAGATCTATCATAAAATGATGGTATTTTGGTATTTCCCAATTCAACCTGTGTTATCTTGAGAGATGATACCTAATAAGATCATAGCTGTTTGTTTATTCCTGTTTTGCAATACACGTAATAATAATGAGATAGTTCCTTTGTAAAACTGGTGAAATTTAAGTGTTATAGAAGCCTCAAAAATTAAATTTTCAAAGTGACTACGGTCACTTGTATTTTAAGCATTATACTGTTTTGTATTCTGTTTTGATTGAATTTTTTTTTAACTTCAGAATATTAAGGGAGTACAAATGTTTTTGTTACTTGGATGGCTTTTATAATGCTTAAGTCAGGGCTATTAGTGTGCCCATCAGCTGAATAGGGTTCACTGTACCAGTTAGGTAGGTTTTTGCCCCTTCCCTCTCCTTCCCCCCTTTTTCTTCTTCTTCTTTTTTTTTTTTTTTGAGGCAAAAGTCTTGCTCTGTCACCCCAGCTAGAGGGCTAGAGTGCAATGGCATCATCATAGCTCACTGCAACCTCCAACTCCTGGGCTGAAGTGATCCTCCTGCCTAAGCCTCCAAATTAGCTGAGACTATGGGCCCATGCCACCATGCCTGGCTAATTTTTTCTGTTTTTGGTAGAGACGGGGTCTCATTCTTGTTCAGGCTGGTCTCGAACTCCTGACCTCAAGCAATCTCCTCCCTTGGCCTCCCAGAGTGGTATTATAGCAGTGCTCCCCAGCCTTTTTGGCAGCGGGGACCGGTTTCATGGAAGACAATTTTTCCACGGATGGGAGTTGGGGGTTGGTTTCAGCATCATTCAAGCACATTACATTTATTGTGCGGTCAAACCTCTCTGCTAATGATAATCTGTACTTGCAGCTGCTCCCCAGCACTAGCATCACCGCCTCAGCTCCACCTCAGATCGTCAGGCATCAGATTCTCATAAGGAGCTCACAGCCTAGATCCCTCGCATGCACAGTTTACAGTAGGGTTTGTGCTCCTATGAGAATCTAATGCCACTGCTAATCTGACAGGAGGCGGAGCTTGTGTGGTGATGCAAGTGATGGGGAGCGAGCGGCTTTAAACATAGATGAAGCTTTGCTCGCTCACCTGCCTGATGCTCATCACTGCTCACCTACTACTGTGTGGCCTGCTTCCTAACAGGCCATAGACGAATACTGGTCTGGTCCGGGCCCGGGGCTTTGGGGACTGTAGTATTATAGGATTATAGGCATGAGCCACTGTGCCCGGCCCCTCCCCCCTTCTTGATTTCCAATGACTTTTACTTTTCTCCATGACCATCGATTAGTTCCAAATTATTAGAAAAGTACATGTGGTGTTTGTTTTTTCATGCCTCAGATACTTCACTTAGGATAATGGTCTCCAGTCCATCCAAATTGCTGCAAAAAAACCCATTAATCCATTTCTTTTTATGGCTGAGTAGTACTTCATGTGGCATATATGTACACCACATTTTGTTAATCCATTCATGAACTGATGGGCATTTAGGTTGATTCCACATCTCTGTGATTATGAATTGTACTGCAGTAAACATTTAAGTGCAGATGTCTTTTGATAAAAATGACTTATTTTCCTTTGTGTTCTTTTAATGTGGAAAACAACATGCAGTTACTGTATAGAAATATAGAAGGAAGAAACTTGAGGTTAATGTCCATGGACTTATATGCACCCACCCACCCCCACCAGAAAGAGTGTGGCCATGCTATCTGTCTGTCATCAGAATAACCATCAAAATCAATGAGTCTACTTTAAATTACTAATTCAAGCCTAATTAGATTCTATACCTTAGTTATTAAAACACAGCATTGTGGTATAGGGGAAAGATAGATCCATTAGGAGATTAATTCAACAAGCTGCTGGTTGATTGACTGCTAAGCAAGCACTGTATTCTGAAGCTGGAGAAACAGTCCCTCCATCTGAGTATCCTTTGAACTACCTGACTACCACAATGGCATGCCATGCAGAAAGGGCCCAGAGAAGGCAGATATCCAGCTTAGTCATGGAGAAGGGTCCAGAGAAGGCCCAAGCTGATTGTTGATTGATAAGTCTGAGTCAGGTAGTGGAGGATGTGGGGGAGAGGGATTGAGAACAGCATGTGTAGAAGCATAAAGAGGAGAGAACATAGAATGTTGCTTTTTGAGCTTAGTGTTACCAGAGTAGGTACGTGAGGGGAAGTAGCAGGAGGGGAGACTGGAGAGGTTGCAGGGAGCAGTTACTGAAGGGCCTCAGTAAGCCAGGCTGAGCCATTTGGACTAATTTGAGTGAATCTGCATTTTAGAAGGATCAGATAGTACCAATATGGAGTATGGGTTGGAGGAGAGAATGATGAAAGTAGGCGGACCACTTAGAAGATTTGTGATGTAGTCCAGGCAAGAAATGATGATGATCTAAATTAAGGCGGGGTGGGGGGAGAGAAAGAAATGGAGCTGAGAGACTTAGGAAGCAAGATTAAATCATATTTGTTGACCTTTTGTATGCAGAGAGGGAGATGAGGGGGAGGTGGTGATAGTAACATGTACATTTCTGGTTTGGGATACTGGAAAAGGGAATGGAGGAAAAGGAGAAACTTTCAGGGCCCAGAGGGAAATGGGAGCTCTCGTGTACTCTCTAATAGTTCTGAGGCCACAGGCAGGTTGTTTCACTCCTCTGGTCCTTCTGGGTCCTCATCTGAAATGAAAGAGATAAAAGATACCATCTTTAGGCGTTTTAGGCTCTGAAGTACAAAGTCCATGGTTAGAATTACTGTAGTTTGGTTAGCGCTATAACTGAATGATAGTGTTTATGTTTTCCAGGGCAAATGACACAGCTCTGTGAACTGATCAACAAGAGTGGGGAACTCCTTGCAAAGAACTTATCCCATCTGGACACGGTGCTTGGGGCTCTGGATGTACAAGAACACTCCTTGGGCGTCCTTGCTGTCTTGTAAGGGGCACATCTTCTTTTATAGTTTTGTGCTTGTTAAAACTGAACACTGTGCACTTTCTGGCTTTATTTATTTATTTCTTTAGGTTTAGAAAGTAAATTATGTAAAACATCGAGTGCTTTTGCAAAACTAAAGTCATACAGTAGTTACATTTCACTCATTGCAACTAATTGCTTACTATATTTTGTTCAGTTTTAGCATTTTTAAACTTTTGTTCATGTTCATACAAATTTTGAAAATTTGTTTTTAAAAATGAATGGCCATCTCAATTGTGGGCACTGTAGCTTGCATTTATTTGGATACTTTTATTATTGTAATCCATGGGATTGTCCATGTTTTCTAAGGTGGATAATAGGAATAGTGCTGGAACAGGACGTGGTGGAATACACTGAATGAAAATATCAGTGATCCAAAGCAACATTATTTAGAATTACCTTCAAACAAATTTAAGCGGCTTAAGACCAAATTAAATAGGCCTTATTTTAATTGGGGTTCCTTGTAACTCTGTGTACTTGACAGTAGAATTTTTTCTCTTTTGATGTTTTAGTATAATAAATTGGGATATTGTGGTTGTCATGAAATTTGAAATAATGTAAATAAACTGAGAAGAAATTGACCTTACGTGAGGGTCTGGCTTCACTCGTGCTGGGATTCCTGAGACAAAGATTATGTGTCAGGAGCAGAGTTTAAAGAAGAAACTTTGCCAGAATGAAAGGATCTAGAGCTGTGTGTTGCAGTACGATAGCCACTAGCCATATGCACCTATTTAAATTAAAATTTAAGTTAAAGATTTAGGTGCACTTGCCACATTTCAAGTACTCAGTAGCCACATGTCGCTACATGTCCATGTCTTAGACAGCACAGATATAGGACATTTCCACTCAGCAGTGCTGGTAAAGATTTCTCCTGTCTGTGTTTCTTATGTATGTGAGAGAGCAGATAGCATGCAAGTTTTATACACACATAAACTCGCATGTACATATATGTCAAGTGAGGTCATGTACATGAAAGTATTTTGAAGCTCTAAGGTGTTTATCATTGTATAATATATCAGTTAGGTAATGTGTGGAATACCCTGAGCTTGTGGCTGACTAACCTGGGTTTGAATCTTCATTCTTCCAATTATAAGGTGTGGGGCCCCGAGCTTCATATTTTTATTTATTAAATGGAAATCACAATGCCTTACTGACCTATTGTGAACCCCAAACGAAATCGTTTCTGATGTGTTTTGATAATTACAAAGTTATAACAGATGTTAGGTGACATTGTTAAGTCAAATAATACTATAAAGATAGAAGCAGACAAACTGAAGGATGTAGGAGAAATTGTGATTGGGTAATAATATCCATTTCATTTTTCTTGAAACTAGTTTCAATAGTTCACTTTTTTTTAAAAAAAGAACTTGAAGTTTACTTACAAGCTGCCTTAGTGGTGGTAGCACATATGATTTCTCCCCTAAAATCTCTAACACCCTCTCAGAGTGTTTCTCATGGTAGCTAATGGATGGTACCGCTGCTGAGTTACTTGGGCTGGATCGTCTGAGTCCTCCCTCTTCCTGCCCCCACACTCTTCTTACCCTGCCTATCAGCTAGTTCTGCAGTCTTTCTCCTAGACAGGCCACTCAGCTGGCAGCAGCATCATTAGCTTGAGACACTGTCACAGCCTCCAACCAGCACATAACTCTCATTCCTGGCCCCCCTCAGTACATTCTTAGAGCAAGAAAAGCAACAACTGATTTTTTAAACGAGTAAATAGTCCTGACCACGTTGTAGCTCCAAAGAAGAAAAATTTTTTTGGTTAAAAGTTTATATTCAGCTCCTTTACATGTATTAAACAACATGATATTTGGCCTCATTTAAAAGAGCTTTTAATTTTTAAAGTTCATTGTTAAGC